AATACTCTCTTTTAGAATTTTGTTGTGTATCAACCTCTAATTATGCCCTCAGGTATGTGTTGACCACATTTTCCCTACTATAGCTGTCTGTGAACAGTCTACCTAACATCCCATCAATCACATCTTCATCTTTTTTTAAGCCCAATGAAGCTGACTCTAGCTGTAATACCGGCGTTTATAATAGACCATTCCTCTCTTTTCTGCGTGGCGAAGCTCTGCCTACTAGTTCGTAGTCATGACGTTCAGGCAGTTTTTGACTTTTAGCTTTGAATGCCCATTTCATCATGCATTCATGAAGATTGCAAGAGCTTATAAAGGGCGTTTCGTCTTGCCTCATTCTGCACTGCATTGTTTATAAGAATGAAGCACTTGCAGTAACAGAATAATGTTTCGCATAAACAATGTTCTTCGAAAGCGCTGCAACGTCAAGAACGAGCACTTTGGCCTAGTGCAAGAATAGCCAAGATCTCAAGTGTGGATAGATTATTCCGACAACAGAATCAAGAAAGATGTTCCTTTTTCGTGTTGCTTAATCGACTACATCAAACCTTTTCGCACTTTCTGCTTCCTGTTGACGCATTTCACTAAAAGATCATTTTTTGCGCTCAAGGCCCTTCTTTATTCTTACTAAGCTTCAAAGGCTAAGCCTGCTCATCAGCTTTTTTGCTAAAACCAAATTAGATTTGCCTTTGTCATTGTGGGCGCATTTTCCGCAAAACTTTTCACCAGCCTGACTTCTGAATGAATACGTCGTTAAAATACTGCCATTATAAACTATGCGCTACTTTTATAAAACATAAGTGAGGCGAGGTCTTTCGCATGAACGATATATTAGTTTCGAAGATATGAAAAAGGCTGTTGAATGAAATAATTTTCCACTGAAATCTAGTGTTTTGGTGTTGATAATTAGCTTGACATCGATCCTCATCGTAATTGCTGTGATTTTTCAAAGGTTTCTTTACTCTCAGCTTCCTTTGGCTGTGTCCGAGTTGCTCATATGTCGGCTTCTTTTCAGCACCGTTCCAGTCGTGCTACCACCGTGCTGGAACCGTGCCACCCAGTTAATGTAGTGCTTTAGCACTTTCGTGCAGTACTTTCACGGGATTCAGTATTTATATTCCCTGTTTGCATGACTAAAGCTCTTAGCTGAAGTTCATTTCTGTTTTCGACGGCTGTTAATTATGACTTCAAAGTCCACATTATTATTTTAACAGTAGAGTGATAATATGATGAAGATTTTCGTATACGAAAATATCCAAACACTGCCTTAGTCAAATTTAGCAAATATGTCCTTTTGGGGCAAGATTTTTCCTGTTTATAGTGCGAAAGACTCCGCCCATTGCTTTAGCGTTCTCATGTACTCTAAGGCTCTAAGTGACTGAAGTCGCTGATCTAATCACAACGGAAATAAATTTGTTCGTGATAGATCACAGCTTCAATTCATCTAGCTTAAGTTACTAGAATGTGAGCGTGGTTGCGTCCCCCTTTTTTAAGATTTTTCGAAACTGCTCCCTTCTTACGCATTACTCAACACCGTACATACATTTCCATCTCCTACGCTGGAGTCGTTGATCTGGACTATTTTATAGTAGACAGCTCCTAAGAGATTCGAAGGGCTCAAAATTTGGTCTTAAACATCGACTTGAATGAAGTCAAATTTCTCTGCAAGTATTTGAGCAGAACTATATACGTACGAAAAGCTGTGTGGTTGGAGTTGGTTGCATTCGTTCTGTTTCTCCATGTTGAAACTTTTTTTTTTAATTTTACTGTTGCAGATAAATTTCGAAGACGTCACTGGTTTAGAGACACCTTAACACTAATTTTTATTTTCACCTGTGTGTTATTTTCTTTCAGCATCTCACCTTATAATTGTTCTGAACAGTACATTAGTCAGCGTTCAATTGGCTCGCATTTCTGAAGTAAAGAACGAGTTTTTTCTTCAGAAACAGGAGGGAATTTTATTTCATACCTTCTGTCGTTTCTGGTCACTGCCCATCGCTTGGAGTAAATAAAAACTTTTTTAACTAGGTAATCTGAGCGAATAGCAGAACGAACTGGGGCTTGGCATAGCCGCGCATCCAATTCTAATTTGTGAGTATATATCCCATGTTAAGGGCCGGGCATACTTCACACGATTTCACGCGATTTGGCAATTCGCCAGAAGTCTTTAGATCCATTAGCAAACCGCACATGCATAGTGTGTATGACATACGTGGACTGATAAAATGCCCTATCTTCTGTACATTTAACATGTGTTTATATGAGTTATGGACAGTTGGAATATTGCCAAATCGCGTCGCGACGGAAATCGCATGCCCGGCCCTTTACTCTCCAAAGATTTGCTTCCTTCCAAGTATTTGGAGATAATTTCTCTCGATAACCACTTCTTTCAAGGGGGATGCGCATTCATTCCAATCGACGGCTAAAAATAGCTTTTCTTTATCAGTATCTTCTTAACCTCTCTAGCAAGTGAATGTGCAGATGTGTGAATTAAGATCATCTTTTACTGACTCATTTGGAATTCCTATGACACTGCTGTGAATGTGAGAATCTATGAATGTCACCCCTTTGTCACCGCAGCTGAAACATTATGTTTCTGCATATTCTCATCGAACAGAAATGTGCAAAGTATTTGGTATGCATGAATTCGGGCACGATGGCGTTAGCGAAGTGTACGTGTACGTAGTTTTTCATTACGCAAATGCTAGAGTCGTAACTTTTGGTTGCTATGAATTGCAGTGCATGCGAGAGTTATGAGTACTGCTTGGAGGTCCTTTTTCTGAATTTGTTCATTTAGTAGTTGTAAATGAGAACTTTTGTATGCAATTGTTTGATGAGCCTTGAAGATGTTTGGCTCATTTCGATTTTACCTTACGAAAATGGTAAACAGATTTTGGTTTATTCAATCTTCACAGAATTAGATTGTGCAGTACTTTATGTCGTAGATATGTAACAGATCTTCATAGCAAAATGGTCATTTAATATGCGAAAAAACACTCATTTAATTATCTCCAGAAAAACAAAGCTCCAGCAACGACGAATCTGGTCGAACCAAGAAGATTGTGTAACTTAGTCAATTAGAATTGACGTAATCATCAAAAGTACGCAACAAGTCTTTTTTTGAAGTCTACTCTATGATGCAGCTTTTATCAAAGAGGCGCAGATGCCCATTTATGATTGGCAACTTGCAATGGAATAAAGAAAGTTCTATCCCAACATTAATTATTGGTTAGAGTCGCACTGTGCTTTTAACTGGCCCAGAGCGGATAATCATCTTAAAGCGACACGATGCGTAATGCAGTTAAAGCTGATACCATATTAAGGAGCGAACTCCTCAGCGAAAATAACATCCGTCATCATTTATTTACAAAATTTTGATAATTTTGGGGATCTATGTCTAAATCATACTCATCTGTGCAAACCTTCCGCATGAGCGAGAAAGCTATCCGAACTATCAGGGGTGTATGAGTACCGAACCTCATTTTGTAATCTCAACTGATTCAACACAAAACCTGGGTTTTTGGAAACACATTAGTGCGCTTTGATATTTACAACTAGTTCCATTTATAGAAGAGCACAAGGAATACAAAAGATTAATTGTAGCGTACTAATAAAAGCTACTAATGGTTTCTCATACCAAAAATTAGGTCCGGATTCTTAATGTTAGCGGAGACACTTCCAGATTTCCAATACATATGTCATAATTGTTGTCGGCGATAATGCAGCTAGCGCTTTATGCAAGTCCCTTCCTCATTTCTTTTAAGGGGCGAGACTAATGTCGCTGGAAGTAGGTGGGCCCATGCGGACGACTGCAACAACCCTTGCAGCATGCATATCACAGACCATGCAAATATGTACCAGCTGTCCGCGCAGGGTGGAGCCTAACGGCGACATATAGTTTATTAACCCTTGTCAATTTAGGGAAGTAGAAATTTTCCTAGAAAAGGAGGCTGGGGAAGATGCAACTATGGAGGTTTCTGGTGCTATCAGCCCTAAATGTTTTCTTTTAATTGTTTTATGTGTCTGAACGGGCCATCTGAGTACATAAGTTCTTCTTCTCACTGCTTTCACCCGTAAGTCAACTAATGAGCTCGAAGGTTAAGATGAGAACTAGAAATAGTGAATGAGAATTGTAGGCAGAACGCTACTTATTTACATATTTATAAGTGCATAGTTTTGTAACATGTGACCGTAACATGTGTGAAAATGTGAACCTTTAAAATACCATACCCTTTTCTGCACGCATGATTACCACCAATCTATTTTGAATTTCTTGTCTACAAGACTTACAGAAGATTTAGCAGTTTTCTAAATTTCCTGGATTCGTCAGCCTCTGTCACCAGAAAAATTCCGCTCTCTAACCTTTTCCGTTGAAAACTTCCAACAGTGGCTGGCTTTCACATCATTATAATTAACATACATTATTTTTAAAGTCCTTGAAATCTGTTTGTCCATCTGCAAGCTTTTTTCCTTTTTTCCAGCTGAAAGTCTGCACTGATTTTTAGTAATCTGATCTAGCTTTATTGCAACACCTGTGCAAAGCGTCTGCAGGGCTTTTTCGACTCATTAAAAACGCGTTACAACTCCTCCTTCTGGCTTCACTACTAATCCTTCTGAAGCGCGTTTTTCCAGCACACATTTTGTGCCGCTGTAAGACTGTAATAATAGTGACGAGAGTCAGGTGTCGTGCCACATTTTTCATCGTGAAGAAGCCCATTATGAGCTGAGCTTCCGCTTTAGTAATACGGCTGTACTCTGCAGGAGAAATCTGTAACTTTTACACACGGCACGACCACCCCCGTGGAGTCACCCCGGGCATGCAGTGCATATAGGCCCCGAGCATCCATCGATTCTCATCGTATGTTCACGCTTTCTCAGCAATTTCGCGGATTTCTGCACACCGTTCCCATCGCTGCTGCTGGCCTGCTGCTGTTGCGATTCTGCCCTCATTTTTGCCCCTAATTACTCGTATAAATAGCCCCCATAATCTTCTTCTGTTTCCTCAGAAATCTTCTTCTTCATCGCCATGTATTCGTGTAAGTTACCTATTTTCTTCAGTCTTTCTCGTAATACTCGATTATGTCGCGATAGCGGAACATCAACTAATTAATGGCTGATTTTGCAGGGATGAAGAAGTTTTTTGGTCGTAAAAAACTTCGAAAATCCAAGTCTGAAATCGTCGATAAGACCGAGCACAATGGCAACGGCAGTGCGTCACAGGAACTTCCGCAGTCGAAATCGACTAATATTGTCAAGTGAGTGCTGACAGCTTCTCTTTGTCTTCGTTAGTTATTACAAACGTTTTTTGCGTTTATCTTTGTAAAAGCTAGATCTTTCCATTATGTCAAAGCTTGCACCCTGATACAAAACTAACATAAATGAAAGTCGACTGAAAAAGCTTGCGAATTGTGACCTCGATGCGAAGTCTTACCCTACGCCTTCGCTCAATCCCCTCCTAAAATGTCACGAAATTCTCGAAAGAGGTCAGGTTGGTGCATAATTCTTGCACCAAAATTTACGAAAATCACATTTTCCAGCTTCAACAAATGGTTTATTGTAAAATCTAGCGCTCATTCGATATGCTTGAATCAAAAATTGCTGTCGGCGTATCGCGACGATACAAGCTAATTAAGAGAAGCACTCAGAAAGTGGTTTGTGAATTCTGAACGCTGAAATTACTGTAGTCTGGAATCTGTTTTAGTTTTGACAGGATCTGTGATTTGCTCATCCTATTTTATAAAGAATCTTTACGGCTGGATGTGTGTATAGACGACTATTTTCAAAATATTTTAATCGAGTTCTAAATTGCTTAAATAAAACTTCCAAGATGTTCATAACAATTCATTACATCTCACAAAAGCGTATGATTCGGTACTTTCATGTGAAAGCCCTCAAATAAACTTTTCCGATTTTTGGTGCAAGACTCGCCAGACCAAGTCGGACTATAATTTTGAGGACAATCGCTTTGTTAAATAAAACAATTTGAATTTTTCGGGGTGGTCACTTCCCTTTTCTCCTTTTTTGGTCGAAGATTGTAGATGCCATTTCTTGTCCAGAAAAATTACCTCAGCTTCGCTTTCCTGAAAAATTTTGAACAAAGGTTTTCTGTAGTGATCTGGATTTTTACTACTTATTCTGCTTGTTCGCATTGCCATTCTGTGAAAGCTAATCTAAACTTAATGGATTTTGTCGCATCTGGTGCATTGTCAACAATTTCCACAGCGGAGTTCTGCTCAGTGAACGAGCATTCGCTTTTGAAGTATTTCCAGCAAATTGCTCACAGATAATCCTTGCTCTGACGGAACTGCTGCTTTTTATGAATCCGAGACGCAGCAAATGCCTAATTTTGCTTTAGAGAATGCTTCAGTGTGCAGTGCTTGCTTGATGATTGACTGTTCTATTCACGTTGCATTCAGAGCTGACCCAAGTTCGCTTCTGTTCTGCTTGCCTGCTAGTTGATATCCTTTTCAAAGGAGAATGCCAATCTAGTCAAAAAGCATTATCAATGAATGTGCACAGTGAATCATCTACATTATGTTATGTATATGCTATTTCGTCATTTTTGTTGAATTTTCATTGTCTTTTGTCACTAAGTTTAGAACGATGACGTTTGGATGAAGTGTTAAAACACCAGTTTATTATGAGCGGCTTCAAAAGTCTACCTTTTTTTGCAATTGTCGAATGCTCCAAAGAATATGATAACTTCAACTGTATTGGGTCGTCTCAAAAGTTTTATCAGTTTTTTTTTTCAAATGACTGTAAAATCTCGTATAAAAGAATGGTTTGCATACGCATTCGATGCATGGTTTTCTTCTCTTTCTAATAATTACATTTTCATTTCATAATCTTGTGAGGGCTCTTTTATAAGTGCAAAATTTCTCTACTTGCCGTTTTTATCTGCTGAAAGTTCGGCTAATTTTTTTGAAATTTTGTTTTCGAGTTTAAGCAAAGAGAAAGTGTGATTTGAATACAAGCAAGTATGAACTATAAGAAATTATTTTTCGAGTCGGCTCTGTATTTGGAGGTGCAAAAAATAATTTCTTAGGAGTTCTATATTTTTGCTTTAGTCATGAAACACAAAACTGCAGCAAAGACATGAAAGCAGCCAAATTTCTACAAATTGAAGATAACTGTAATTCTGCATAATGAACGAGTTCAATCTGCTTTGTGAAATCGCCTTTTTAAAATAATTTTCGGTACTTCTGTGGACTACAAGTGCGGTTTTCCTTGAATAAACGATTATTAAGATTTCCAAAACTAGATTCATGTGATCTGAAGTAGGCATGATGTGGTCAAAGGCTTGCTTTACATAACAGTCACCTGTTACCAGCTTTGTTTCTGAATACTCGGTTGCAATTCTCCAACGATTAGGGAAAAATCTGCGTCACTGCTGAACAGCTCAAGGAGTCCCCCCGCTAACATGGCAGGGCATAAATCAGAGAGAAAATTTAGCCATCCGAGAGAGAATAAGAACTTCAATCGAACGATAGCTAAGCTGTTTGTCGATGGGGGTTTTGTGAGCTTCAGAGGCCAATCAAAGAAATTGATAAACCTTCCAGGACAATCTGATATTACTGAACTCGTTTGTCTCAAAATCTTTTACGAACCTCAAAGTACCAGTGACCACAGTTCAATAGTTTGCGTCGGGAAGAAACGAATCCTCATAACGCAGGATAGATTCACACGATGACCAGTTGCTTTTCAGGGCAGGATTAAATTACGTACATCACCTTGACACCGTAATTTACCAGTTTTCGGGAAATTAATGAGACTGTCGTTTATATGCCGTTTACAAAATGATTTCGTACGGCTCGGTAAGGAAAAACGCACAGCGTAGTCAAAATTTTGAGATATATTTGATTATCAGCTGTTATAGTGAACCATACTTGGCTTTAGACGGAAAGTGATTGCAGAATTTAAAACTTGTATTCATACAGGCTTATTTATTGCAGAATTTTTACCTTTGTTGTAACAAGTTTTAGTACTCAGCGGAGCAAAATCTCTTCACTGTTGCCATCGAGTCCTACAGTTACGAAGCGCGAACAGTGTTATTCCGATTGTAACGTAAAAAACGAAAAGCAGCAAGTCAGTATGATACCTTACAGGGCTCGGCACATCTGATACCGAGTCAAGCTGGGATATCGTTTTTAAGGCAAGATTCAAAGGGGATGTTTTGTGGACGGCAGAAGACACGAAAATTGTGACGTTTTAGTCGACGTTTCGTTTTGGGGGTTTTTACGTTTAAAGTTTGGGGTAAAAGGGGACTTCGTAGGATATTTTTAAGATCGAAGGGGATTTGTTTTGAAATTTCCCTGATGCCAGCTCGTGTCGAACCCTGACTTTAAACCTCGATAGACCTAGGGCAAGCGAATTCGGCAAGCAAGCGCTCCAATTTTTGTAAGCTCTTTTTCGTCGTGCTGAACACAATATAGTCAAATGGAGCGGACTTGCAGTCTTCTTCTTACATAAAGTGGCCACTTTGATGGGATCTGCAATGTTTTTGCTTTCCTCCACATTCATAACGGCGTATGATATGCACGCCGCTCCAAAGTCCCGTCATCTCAAGACATCAGTCACTTTCCCTTCTCTTCCGATGTCTTCTCAGAAGAGGTGGTTTATTTTTGTTTCTTTATGAGATGTGTTTAAGAAATTCTCAGTAAAGCTTTATCTCTGACTTACAGTGATTCAGCCATTTTTATCGCAGTTTTAAATGTTTTAAAATGAGAATTTTGAGCAGGAGGACGCATAACTACTTGTCCACCTTGCCTCCATTCCCCTTCAGCCCCCCCCCCCATCTTTTTCCCTGATTGGGCCATGAAATAAAAAATGATCATATGGCACTAAGAGTGTGCGAGTAAATTGTTTGTCAAATTGCTCTGTTTTCGTTTTTCAAATTTAGAAACATGAATTGGTAAAAAATTTGAAAGGCCAGCCAGGAAGTAAAAGGGCTGCCACTGCCATCCGGTGAACCGCAGTTTTGAGGAATGAGCAAGCCCATTGAAAGCAATTGTGTCTACTCACTAAAGATTCCGGATCTTATGGTTTCGAGTCAATTATTCTTATTCTCTGAGAACTGTACTCCAGTCACTCGTGTCATCGCTATTGCTCCATTTAAGCTTGCGGAAAGCGAGCGGAAATGGAGTTTCAGCATTTGGACTTCTCTGATTTGACATCCAACACAAGCCCCTTTTTGTTTGAAAGAACCTGACCCACGGTTTCTATTTTTTGGACCTAGCGGACTCGGGAAGTTTTGGAGATTGAGAGTAAACAGATAGTCAGGAATTGGCAGTTAAATTAACTAGTAACTTTATCGTCCAGTGAGGTCATTATAGAAGTTTCGGCATTGTTTCGTGTGCACATAAACCATGCGATTTTAACAATAGCAGTGTCCGCTTCAAATCATAAACTCCTTTTCGGAAAGCATTGTCTTTTTTCTTTCACTAAGCGAAGTTTTATGCATCCATTGAGAGTTAGATTTTTTAGAGCCAACCCTCATGTTGAAGCGATAAAATCTCGAGAGCACAAAGTGCAGTTACCGATGATTGGGCATTTTTCTGTTTAGCATACGAGTTTTGCGATTCTCCTTGCAATCGCTCACCTTCTCATCTTCCAAACAAACTCGAAAACGAAAAACTTTATTGCAAACTGTAATATGAGCCTGGAACACAAAACCCAACCTTTCTGCGCACGAAAGTTCTTCAATGACTTTGAAATTAGGCCATTCATCAAATCTGATTTCTCATTTGCATATAGTGCTCTGGTGCCATCTCATCATTAGCGGAAGAATAGATTTATAACAGGGAAATCAGCATCGTTCAGTGGTTGATAGCAGCTTCTGCAATTAATATCACACCACAAAATTGTATGCTAAAGGCTTTCGATTTAGTCGTACCAATTCCTCAAAAGATTGTAGAAATTCTTCTGTATATTTGACATACAGTCATAGTTTTCAGCGAATTTCGCGAATATCACATAATAAGGGTTTCACTACCTTGCAAACAGTCATCGTAGCTAATACTAACTTCTTTCATCGCTAGAATTCGAGGGAATTGGAAAGAAATACAGAATATTAGTCGAAGTCAATTCAGCACTGTAAAAACCTCCTGCTGCAGAAGCTGAAAATTCTCTATGCAGGGGATCTTTCTTATCAAAGCAATCTCAAAGCTTCGTACTTGTGTTTCAGTCACGTAGCTTCTTCGTCGGACGACTGGGAAGCAGTCTGTTCCTCTCACGGTGAGGAACGGATAAAGAATTTCGATTCTGAGTTGGACAAACACATGATGCAAACGATCACTGACGTCAAGTACATGATCAAGAAGAGCAAATACACAGCGCTCAGTGAGTTTTCTATTTTGACATCTGGTGTGGTTTTTTCCAAGTCAACGTTTTTTTCAATACCAAAACGTTAAAGCGGTTTTGTCTGTAATTTTGATAGTGAGATTGATGATCAGAAAGTTTTCGCCTGATTTCAAATTTCTCCAGGCGAAGTGAACTTCCAACGAGGTTGTCTCGATGCACACAATGAACTGCGGCAAAGGTACGGATAAATATTTACGGATACTATTGACTAAACTGACAACAACCATCATCAACATAACAGAATCTATTGACAGATACGGGATAGCACCATTGGTTTGGTCAGCAGAGCTAGCTGACATGGCACATGCATGGGCTGTTAAGTTATCAGATAGGGGACGAATGCTGTATCCGGAATTGCCAGGTGGGTTATTCTACCCTCGAAATAGTCTCGAATACTTTTTATTACTTAGTAAGTGGTCTGATCGATGCTGGATTAGTTGTTGCTTTTATCTTTACGGTAGTAATATTTTGGTTACAGTAAGATAGATAAACATGGATCTATGAGAGCTATCTCGAGCGAATTACGTACAAGAAACAATTGATCACTAATCCTGTCATCAGCTAATCCATTATCGACAAAACAATTTTATATTACTGTAACCAAAATATTGATCATACTCAAAACCCAACATGGCCCCGTTTTTCCTGGGAAAATAGTTTTCCTTTGATCGATTCATTCAATCACCGCATTGGTCAGTGTTAGGCCGAGAAAAGATTGTGAATTGAAGAAAGGGCTGGAATGAAATTTAAAGTGAATAAAAGTGCTTTCTGTTGTTGAGAGATTTGACCAACTACCACAAACGTTAGACAAAGAGGCACAAGTTTCACATCCAAAGATCAATATGGTTGGCTGTAAGAACCGAGAACAGACTAAGGGCCGGGCATACATACTTCACGCGATTTCAGTCGCGACGCTATTTGGCAATTCGTCAGAAGTCTTCAGATCCAACACTAGCATTCTGCACATGCATAGTATGTATAACTTACGTGGATTGATAAAATATCCTATCTTCTGTACATTCAAAATGTGCTTACAGTGAGTTATGGACAACTGGGTTTTGCCAAGCGCTGAAATCGCGTGAAGTATGCCCGGCTCTTCAAGCCAAAAGCTGATGCTCTAAAATTAATGTATAGTTGTGTAAGGTACTTTCTTCTAGGCATCGGAGAAAATATAATGCTATCTGAAGCGAACGAACAATCACATCTTCCGACAGGAGCGGAAGTTGTTTCTCGATGGGAGAGCGAAGCCGATCAGTTTGACTTTGATCGACCGCGATGGAATCCAAGTCAGTTTTGACGTTGATATCAATTTTCTCTAGGATAATTCCGGTGAATTTCAGAGTGCCAACGCTTCTCTCAAATGGTTTGGAGAGATACGACCGAATTAGGAGCTGCTCGAGCTTGGAATACTGCGAAGAACTGCGTGGCCGTTGTTTGTTTCTATAGGCCAAGTGGGAATTCGAATGCTCCAGGTGAGTAACATCCTTACTTATTTAAGTGATTGTAGGTAGGAGAAAGAATAGCCGAAATGGGGTCAAGCCAAGAATATTGAAACATAGGTTAGAAGTATAACCTGGAATCTTTGTTCAAAATTCTCATTTCTGGCGACATTTTCGCATTACGGCAGAAGTACGGTAGCTGAGTGAGTAGAATGATAGCTGATTTATTTCTAAATTGATCTTCTGGCTTTCAGATTCGCAAAGCAGTTAGCAGCTTGATCTAAAATTTCCCCTTATGTCAATATACTAGGTTGTTCTGAAAATTTTGTCCGTTTCGTGATAGGTCAACAAAACTAATGAAACAGTGGCCGACGGCAGTTTGGGTAAAATTTAATTCAAGTTTTTCCTTCTTTCTGAAGCCATCATTGCTTTCTGACGTAAACAGAATTTGCGGCGTTATCGCCACATTCTTTGAGTAGTTTTTGAGTCGCAAAATTCTTCTACTTTCAAAATTTTTCATCATGCTAGCATCTTGTAAGATATAGATACTAGCGACCCTACGGGTCGCTAGCAAGTGGGTCGGGGCAGATACATATAAGGGCTTAGGTTTGACTAAAAATATTTCTAAATAAGTTTCCTGTTCCTTTCCTGAGAATATTTTTGCGAAGAGCATTCCACAAAAGGAGAACTGCTCGAAAAAGCGATAATCTCCACAAATCATTCACCATTTCTCGAATTATTTTTATCTCGTTTACACGCTTTTTATGCAAATTTCCCTCCTCACAGACACATTCAGATAAACCCCCCCCCCCCACTTTTCTACCCTTTCAAAGAGAATTTGCTTTTTCGGTTCTTCTCAGCAAGTTCCATAAAAGATCCTTAAGTAAGTAGCAGAACATATGTTTTGGAAGTAGAAATACACCATAATAATTATGTGTATTATAAAAAACACTTTTCTCTCAGAATCAGTTCCGACAGCAACGAAATCAGTCGTCTAAGAACTTTGTCAAAGAATCCTTCAATTTTTCCGGCAAAGGAATATGAAGCTTTACTACATAAGTAGATCCTTCCCCGAAAAGCAACCTACTGAGCCACCTAAAGACCGTCAATTATAAAACCTGCATAAACGTACAAAAAAATTCTTTCCCTGTCCGATCAAATTGCCCTACGTGCCGTTTACAAACCAGTTATCTATTTGAAAGAAAGTTCATGCCCTATGTGCCGCTTGAAGACCGTTAAAAAATTACAAGAACTGCCATAACATACAAAAATCTGTTTCCCTGCCCGATCGGGTTGCCCTACGTGCCGCTTACAGACCGAGACTAACTATTCAAAATGAAAGTTTATTCCCTACGTGCCGCTTGAAGACCGGTAAGAAATTACAAGAACTGCCATAACATACAAAAATCTGTTTCCCTGCCCGATCGGGTTGCCCTACGTGCCGCTTACAGACCGACAGTAACTATTCAAAATGAAAGTTTATTCCCTACGTGCCGCTTGAAGACCGGTAAAAAATTACAAGAACTGCCATAACATAAAAATTCTGTTTCCCTGCTCGATCGGGTTGCCCTACGTGCCGCTTACAGACCGAGAGTAACTATTCAGAAAGAGTTTATGCCCTACATGCCGCTTGAAGACCGTTCAGGAATTATAAGAACTGCCCCAAACGTACAAAAATCTGTTTCCCTGCCCGACCGGGTTGCCCTACGTGCCGCTTACAGACCAAGAGTAACTATTCAAAATGAAAGTTTATTCCCTACGTGCCGCTTGAAGACCGGTAAAAAATTACAAGAACTGCCATAACATAAAAATTCTGTTTCCCTGCTCGATCGGGTTGCCCTACGTGCCGCTTACAGACCGAGAGTAACTATTCAGAAAGAGTTTATGCCCTACGTGCCGCTTGAAGACCGTTTAAGAATTACAAGAACTGCCCCAAACATAAGAAATCTAAAAAAAGTTCCCTTACAGACCGATAGTCAAAAAGAAAGTTTATGCCCTACGTGCCGCTTGAAGATCGTTTAGGAATTATAAGAACTGCCCCAAACATACAAAAATCTGTTTCCCTGCCCGATCGGGTTGCCCTACGTGCCGCTTACAGACCGACAGTAACTATTCAAAAAAAAAGTTCATACCTTACGTGCCGCTTGAAGACCGTTCAGGAATTATAAGAACTGCCCCAAACATACAAAAATCTGTTTCCCTGCTCGATCGGGTTGTCCTACGTGCCGCTTACAGACCGACAGTAACTATTCGAAAAGAAAGTTCATGCCCTACGTGCCGCTTGAAGATCGTATATATAAAAAGCCAATTTTACGACTCTACAGAAAGAGAACAACGAAATCAAGTATTTACAGCGTATTCTCAAACTGCCGTGCATGCCACCTTCGGACTTCCAATTCTGAGAACTGCCCCAAACGTACAAAAATCTGTCCCCTGCCCGATGGAATTGTTCTACGTGCCGCTTACACACCGATACCCACGAAAAAAAAGCAAGGCTGTTGTTAGATAAACGCTTCTAAAAGTACCAGCGAGACTAAGTTATTCACGCACTCTCTTGTCTACACTCGGAAGCAAGATAATCCTAAAGTGACTGTTGTTAGAGCATTTCTACGAAGATTTGAGAATATAGATGAATTTAGCTCAAGTCACGCTTTCACGCAATTTGGCATTATTTCAAAAGCAACTAATAGGAGTAGAACATGTTTGAAAGACACATTCTGGGATAACAGACTCGAAAAAAAGCAGGTACAACACATTCGGACACTGGCGACCCACTCTCAAAATCATTGCGACACTCATGATTGCCTTTCGAAACCTGTGTGATCCTTTTACGAAAATCTGCTTGGGCACTCGTTATGAAATTTGGCAGCGTTCCAAAACGCATGCCACTTGGTAGCAATCCAATTCCAAAGATCAGTGTATTTCATCATAATTTTTACGTCTGCGGCCTCCTCGTTTGCCATGATCCAACTATCGGGCGGCTTAATGGGTAAACAACGAATTCGTTATACATTACGTAGTGATTTCTTGAAATCGTGACGACGGATTTGACTGCGGACTTTGCGCCTACAGGAGGTTAAAACACTCATAAGAAGCACGATCTTAACGCTCAGCTCAGCTGTCGCTTCCAGTGTCTGAATACTATTTAATATACGTAAGCAGAAAAATCGCATAAGTATAGATGAAACCGGGGAAAATGAGGTTGCAGGACGTTGCGTGCGTGTCGCGCGCGGTCGCGCCATCGCTACGATTTTTCGAGTGCCTTATAGCTACATTTTATTCATTTTGGATTGCTTAGGCCAAGTTTCTGATTTTTGTGATAACTACTCATTTGAGAAAATCTCCGCTTTATATATGCATATAGAGCGATGGCGAACCGAAAAAATCAAACGTGATTTTATGAATTTGTGTCTTGAATAAAATTTGTTTAGTTACAATCAGGTTTTCTGCCAAATTCGGAAAGCTTCCATGTTTCGCTGCAGTGGGGTGTTTCATTTTTTTTATCAAAAATTCGAGATCTTTAATGCCAATGTTTTATAGAAGTCTATATGGCACACTGATACAAAATCAGGTTATGTAGCCCAGTTGCTGTAGCTGTCCGATATCTATTCTTTTATGAAAGTCGGGAATGATGAAATCTAACGGGAAGTTGAGCAGCTAGAAATGAAGGGTAAAATGTTTTGGCAATTATCTGGGAGCAGGAAGATTTTGGTCTGATAACATGACTACTGGAAAGAGAAAAAAGCGAACGCACATTTGAATTTTACCGGTCGTATACGTTTTGTGATCGGAAACGGATAAAACTTTCGGGAAAACCTCATTGTAGTCATCGAAGTTGCGGGCGAAAATCGCTTTTTTTTACTCAACATTGATTCCAGGTGAATTCGCCTCAAATGTGCCATCCAGAGACTGCTCAATGTCTCCAGCACGAAGTCTTGCTGGACAAATCAAACGTTCCGTGACGATAACGGCTCCTCCAGACCACAAACGCGATACCTAAACGGAATCCTTCCGTAGGTGTTCTTCATAACCCCATAAGGAAAGAAGTTTTCGCCCTTCTGCCCCTGCAACGATCTCCCGACATTCCTCGATTTCTCCCCCCCCCCCCCCTCCCACTTTTTCCCTTATCTTATCTCGAACTTCCCCACCAGGGCGCTTCCGTTGTTCTTCCTGGCCTTACGGTGATTTTCTTGATTGAAACCCGCGTGCTGCCATCTTTTGCCGCCTCACTTATCTCTCGAGTTACTTTCCTATTTTTCGTTTTCTTCATACTTTTTTACTTTTCTTTTTACTCCACATTCTTCATTGAGATGTGATCTGCACATAGTAGGTGATGTTCCATTTTTAGGTATTTTCCACTTATGTATCGAAATTTTTACGATCACAAATCGGTTGCTTTTTGCGCGCTTTCTGCTTCTGCTGCCTGTACTTGTTATTTGCAAACAAGGAATTTATAAATGTATATCATGTGGTTGGTTTTGATGTTCCACGGCATTTGGTTGCTTTTTTTCTAATCAATAAATATGATCAATTAATTAAAATGGATTTATTCAATATTCGTTCAAGGAAGACAATTACATAGGCCTTGAGCGTTCGCAAATACCCATTTGAAGTGTGAAAATTCAAGAGTAAAGCTGTAAATAAGATAAAATTCTACTGGAAGCAAATATAATATAGTGGAAGAGTTTTCTACATAGTAAGTGTAATCTTTTTTGTTACGACAGGCAAATGGTCCGTATAAGGCTCTAAGGAAGTAATAGTTTAAAAATAAGTAGCAATGAATAAGCCAATGAAGGCGAGTCTAAAGTAGATATCTTAGACAAGGAGTAGTTTTCTGTAGCGCTAAAATTAAACGAGATATTGATGGCAGTGTCCAGGCCAACTTTGGTCCCTAGGTTTTTTATGTGAAGAAGTATTAAGCTTCACTTAACCCACTGTTCAAATGGCAGCTTATATGATTTATTCTTGGCCAAAACCTCCAAACTCTTGCCCGGCACCGTACTTTTCGCACGCGAGAGTCATAGAATACGGTATTGGGTGGGATTTTAGCGCTAAACTTTTCGACCGCAAACGGATCGTATAAGCTACCAATTGGGCTCTTATTTCACTCATACCTTACCTCTCAATCCATTTTCATAGAAAATGCACAGCCCCAAAATTTGCCTAGACATTTGGACACTCTTTGGAGGAATTGCAAATAAATTGATCAACCCGGATCGCGGCAATATGCACACATGCACACAAAAAACGTAGCAAATGAATATTCGATGAATAAACAATCAACGAGGCGAGAAGCCCTAAATAAACAACGAGAGACAAATTGGTCCTGAGAATGTGACAAATGTGACTTAGAGCGAATATGGCTGATTAGAATTTGAACACATATGGCAGCAAATGTGCACATTGGTGAAATCTGCATTTGCGAAGAAAACAGTAAACAGACGGAATAATATCAAACGGGCAAAACCCCTCAGATATTTCGAAACTGCTGCTCTTTAATGCTACCGTTTGTGACGGAATTCTGAATATCAATAAGACGACTTCGTTCGTCTTCTTCCGGGTTCGGCTCGTCGGCTGTTGACGACGTATAGCCGCCGGGTGATGGAGTCACACGCGAGATCTCCGGCCGACTAGTGCTCTTCTCAGCTATTTCCTGAATATAATTCGTTCTGCTCAGCCTAACTGTCTACATCAACATCGCCATTAGGGCTTTGCAACACTCGTAAAGAAGCGAAATAAAGGGCAAAGCCAAGCTTCAATCAAGCCGATTAGCCAACATTCTCAAGCAAGTTTGGTAGCGTATGTGCAACAAAATACTTGAGTTTCAACCAGTGCCAAGCCAAGTGCTACTGCTTAACAATTAAGCATCCAGTAAGAAGCTTGTGAAGAGTAAATGATTGCTCAAAAAAATCGCTTTAATTTTTTGTTTTCGTTTGTAAACACAAGATTTGTATTCGAAAAACCGCTCCGTTATTTTTTATTTTTCACAAGACTTGGGACTTGCGCAACTTATTTTTATTAGTTTATTTACAAAACATTTTTATTTCAATATTCTGAGTAAATGACAGACTCAAACTATATGATTTGCCCCAAAAATCACTGACTGAGTATAAAAATAATATGGTTACATCGGTGCCTGCCTCGAAACAAAAGATAATGCTCAAATTGGTGCAAACCAGGAAAGATTTGAAGGGAAGCTTTCCAAGAAGGATCCCCATACATCTCGGAGCGAGTTCACAAACAAGTAAAATCTAATTTTTCTATTTAGCTGAAAGCAAAGGTTAGAAAAAAAATAGAGCGGGTCGATTACAGTTTTCTTCAAAGCAAAGTCAAGATTTCCATGAAATTGAGAAAAAGCCCGATTTGGAATGACAAATATCTTGTAAAGAAAATGTTTCTCCTTTCTTTGAACCTAAGTTTTCTGCTAATTCGCGCAAATTGTTAGGTTAATGAAAAATTGCTCACCGACCTTGGCGTGTGAAGCTCTATCAATATCTGAATAAGATGAGCCATTCTCATACAGTAGTTCATTTGGTTTCAGATATGACATCTTGGTGTAGGTGTCGGATGGACGTCGAATTGAGACCGGTCGTTCTGTGCAATGCACCGATTTCGGAACAAAAACGCGACGGAACTCCTGAAAGCAAAGTTTGGAAACCCATTTGGAAAACTTTATATTGTTACCAAAACAGCATTTTCTGTGCCTTAGTGAGATAAACTTTTCTGAATTTTCTACATTATTATGATTGCGCTAGAGAGAAACTGCAGAAAAACTTCCTCATTTTATCTTGTTGGTTTCTCATGATTAAAAAACGGATTTCGTGACGACGCGATAACTCATGCTTTTGTTTAAGCTACAAATCAGTGCATGCTAAACGCTCAAAAACTGTCTCATTTTTACAATCGTCGCCTTATGACAAAAGAATGTGACATATGTTTTTTACTTAAGTCGCGGCAACGGCAGTTCAAGCTCTTGTTTAGGTTACAAATTAGTATATAAAAAAAGAAAAATCCTATAAGAATTCCATGAAAATCCCAAAACTCACATTTCTGAATTGACCGCTCATTGAGCAATAGATGATGAAAGACATGCATGCTTCGCATAGTGAGAATAGATCAAGCAAATCTCCAAGGTTGTTGTAAATATGGCGACGGAACTCTTGTGAGACCATACCTGCAAGAGTTAATTATAAAGAGAAAACTTGCTATATTTCAAAGCGACGTCTGTTTAACTATCTTTTATGCCTCGCAATGACTGTCGTAAAAAAGGACACAATGCTTTTCGAAAATTTTCTAGCTACGAATTGAAACTGATTGAAAAAAGCTTGAAAAATTGAATCCTAGATTTTAAGGTGTCCGTGTTCTCACGATTTCTGATTCTCTTGAAAGAACCACAGAAGCTTTTTAGCAAATTTTTACAGGACAAAAATTTTTTGCTTACCTGATAAAAGCGCCATGATACCCTGCGGCATTTCTGTGAATAACATGACGAACACTATTGCAAGTAGCATATTTGTCGTACGATCAGTACGTTCACCACGACCTTGCACGCTGAAAAATATCAATTTGCCGATAAACTTTATTTTTTAACCAAACTTTAAGAGACTAGATGCTTACCGCAAGCTGGATGTTCGCTTGTGGTGATTGTCAGCTACCAATGTCACCTTACCATTCCGTGCAGAAGCATTTACTGTTGATGGTTGGCGAGAGTTTTTCAACAGTCGTTGCCGATTTTCCTTCACCTGGAAAACATCACGCATTTGAAGAGACGGTACTCAGTAGAACGAACGAACATACAAGTTTAGAGCAACGAGTGCAGATAATTTATTGCTTTTTTTTACTGTTGTAAAAAATCTGAGATTGTCTTGTATTTCAAGTGCTATCAGAAATGTGGTTTATTTCCTAGTCAGTGAAACGTGGTAATATTTCGAATTCGAAATCCCGAAGAAATTTGAGTAAATAATCATGAAAAACGCATCTACGAAATTTTGCAAATTTTACATTTCGGTCAAAGATTTTGGCTTAGTAGGTTTAATGGGTTATGTATCGCTCAAGGCATGCAGAAGATAGAAAAGTTATTTTTTTTATCAAAATGAACTGTAAACCAACCTCCTTCAAAATGCCGAGAAGTAGCCATACGAATAATGACAGAAGACAACACGGTATCACTTTGAATACCAGACCCGAGATCCAAAAGACTAATCGAAAGACCTGAATAAAGCTGAGTTCATGGCAAAATTATCTTATATATAAAGCTGAATGTCTGTTTGTATGTATGTATGTCTGTCTGTCTGTCTGTCTGTCTGTGTGTGTACGTATGTTCCGGATAGGAAATCCCATTTCTGAACCGATCGGGACCAAACTTGGCACACATACACTTCGGCCCCCGGCGGGTGTCATAGGCTACTTTTCGCCATCGATCGATATCGATTTTATCGATTTTTTGCAAAATTTGAGCTACGGGGCTGGTTGGCACAGGGGGTAATCGAGCATGCTGATTACGAATATAATAATGACAGGGCCGGGCGGAGCCGGGTAAGTCAACTAGTCCTAGATAATAAGCAGCTTCTACCCATGATTTCTTTTTAACTATAAGAAACATGATGTAAGAAAACTTCTCACCAAGCAGTGCTTTGCTAAAGCAATTTCAGCAATTCCAGGGAGGTATGCAGCTGCATCGAGCAGAGCTGGATCACGAACGACACATGTATCATTCAGCCTAAATTTCAACCTCGTTCGTTTGAGATTGAAGTACTGAGATTAATAGGCTTACCTGATCTCGAGTATTTTATAGGTAAGGAAATTCGGTGCATTCACAAGGGCAACGAAACAGATCGTTGCTCCTATGGCCATATAGGAGTGCTTGAGATGAATCTGTAATGGCGTCAATTGTAATGAACTTCATTCTTCGTAAAAAAACTACTATAGATAGGCTAGAGCATGATATTTACGCTCAAGTACTGGATGTGAATTCTCAACTATTATAAGAATTGTAGCAGAAGAACACAGATGCATGAGCGTAACTGTTCCTTGAAACTTCACCCAAGCTAAAAATCTCTAAAAATAACTCGTCTTCAATGTCAGTCTTCGAATTTTTTGGCATGCTTTTGAAGGAGAAAATGATTTCTGAAGCACAACGAAAATATTCAGAATATCTTGGCTTTGGATTCTCTCCACTGTTTGTGTGATCACTGTTTGTGTGAAGATGCTCAGTTCGAAATTCTTGAAGATTGCAACTATAAAGTCATTCAAAAATTATTCGATAGCTGACACTTTATTGAGTCAAAATATAAGAATTTCTAGGGAATGCTTCATGTGATTTGGCAGTTCAATGCAGATCAATTTTGTGAAAAAATTTCTTTCTGCGTTGCTCTTGTAATTGTGATTTTGAGCAGCAACTGGGATTAATAACAATTTTTGTTATCAGTCTCGAGTGTCTTCGTTGTTTCGTCAGAATTTCCGAATCCCGATTTTTTTGCATAACAAAATCTGCCAGCCAGATGAGATTAGGTCTCGGATGCATGTCGTCGAGCATAAAAACAAACGAGCTCAAAAGAAATTTGCGTCCGTTTGGATGTTTTTTGGAGTAAGCAACATCTTTTGGTTGTATGTACATTCCTCGCTTCAAATGATATGCAGGAAGAATGACTATAAATCGTGAATAAATTTCCAAAAATAGTTGAGGTTAATCAAAAGTTAAGTGCTGGTGTTGCGGCTCGGTGTGCTCAGCACTCCTCGCCCTAGTGCTCGTCCGCCTGACAACACAACTCCAAACTCCAGAATGTTCCACTTCTGCGCTAGTGTGCGCACTACCTAGCGCGTCTGCTCGACGCCTACACCCCTGCCCGTACAAACAAACAATCACAAACGCGACTAGATTAAATCACATTTACTAAAACATGAAAAACAAAATACAAACACCTAAACTAGTAACTACCACTAAGAAAAAGAAATGGGCACGGGACGAGCCCCCTCGTCCCGGGCTGCCGATGCTCCGAGAAGATCATCTCCAACATGTATCCGGGTCCTCCACTGGGTCAACCGCAAGCCCCTGGCCCATACGGGACGGCGTGACCCCTCTCTACTCCCGCAATCCTTTCCTCCTGCGCAATAAACCACAATACTAAGCTGCGCGTCTCCAAACACAAGAAAATCGACAAGGGCTCAACCGCTCGAAACCGATGATCATCTGCGGGAGCTACTGGAGGCGCTGCCAGCATGGTAATATCATCAAACGATCGATAACGATTGAAACTCTAAGATGCGTAGACCGCGGCCTGCGCGCCCTTATATACCCTGTGACTTGGCAACGCGGCCAGTAAGGGAGAGGTCTTGGAGCGAAATTGATAGCGCGCCAAGTAACGCGATAGCCAGCGCTCCCGACCTCCTGTTTCGAGGAGTGGCTTGCATCGCGCGAGCCGCGACAGCTGGAAACTTTTTGTCTGATAGAACAGTCATCAGCGTTAGATATTGTGTTTCTCAAGATCCAAAACTCTGTAAAGTTTTCAGCTATTCTTTATGCGCTCATGCGAATTTGTAGATGACAGTTATAGAAGCAGAAATGAATAAAAGATTGTGTATTATGATATAGAACTACTGAAAAACCAATTATGTCACTAAATTCAGTACCATATTTTATTCATCTTTCCCGCTCCCTCCCTTAGACGGGGTTTAAGATTTCGATCCTTGTTTATTAACCCGATGCAAAAAATATTTACCGGCATGTTTGGTATATTGGTGTAAAAGCCCAATAGCCTTTTAACCTGACAAAATTCCTCATACTCAGCAGAATCTTAGCTTCATCTCTATTACTCCCTTAGTACTCTAATCAATTTGCAGACGAGCAGTAGTTTGATGTTCCCTCGAGTGGCATCAATAAGCCAAGCATTGAGAGATATTTGTTTCATCTTAGAAACAAATAACAGAAAGTTCAAGCGTAAACCACAATGTTCACATATGTTCGGCGAACTGAAATATTGATGCTTCCGCTAATGCTCGATTGTATGTTACAAAGCCAAGCACCTGCCAGACATCGAACTTTGTACAAAATGCCAACGCAATGTTATCGTAAGAAAAGATTAATAGTGGACGAGATGAGTAATGTTGTTTACCTGCATCACGCCCGATTTGCCTCGTCCTCTTAACGTCATGTAGCGAATCAAGGCGAGCATCACTGAAACAAGAACTTATAACGAAATAAACGAATTCGCAAACAATCGAAAACTGAATCAATTATGGTGTAGGCGCTTTTATCTTCAGAATCGGGCCATTTTCAGGTTTTTTTCAGACTGAGTTGTTTCGATCACTGGGAGTATATACTAGACTCATGATTCTTACACCAAAAACATGAGAATTTCTATAGAAAATGAAAAAAATGATTGTTCCATATCTACCTTCGTAACATACAGGGTGTCCCAAAAGTATGTATGCACTGTTTGATCGTTAATATCTCTCTTCCCAAAAAGTCTTTTGCCTTGAATCAGGCACCGTTTTGTAGAGCTTGCTTCAACTTAGATTTGCAGTATAAAACGAATCACTCATCTCTCTTCATTACTGTAGGATTACGGTAGAAACTTCAAAGAGGGTTTTGAGCCATGAATGGTCATATTTTGCCTCAGAAAGGAAATAAAACAGCCTGAAAATTTTTACATTAGGCTAATTAGAGTTGTTAATTCTAACTGTAAAGTTCCCAGGTTTTTATGATGCTTCATTGAAGAGTTATGCCGGGTAAGAGGCAGCGGCCATTTTTTCAATGTTCCTAAAAAGTGCGGTTGCACCGTTTAGAAACTTCGCAATCTTGTGAATAGTTGAATATTGAACTCAGCGTCCATAAAACCCTATTGTACAAGTTTTCACATTTTTTTGAATAATTTTGAAATGGCATCTTCCACATTGACACCATGTGTTTCAAGTTTCTACCGTAATCCTACAGTATTGAAGAGAGATGGGTGATTCGTTCTATACCGCAAATCTAAGTTGAAGCCAGCTCTACAAAACGGTGCCTGATTCAAGGCAAAAGACTTTTTGGGAAGAGAGATATTAACGATCAAACAGTGCATACATACATTTGGGACACCCTGTATAACAAATGTTCTATATAATGCCTATGCCTATCAGATGAAATACAGAGAAAAATTTAAAACGTTGAGCAATTGACTCGAGATTCGTAAGCATCTGTAGATACATACAATTAGCACAAATTCCTATTAGACAAAATTTATATCAATTTCTATTAATATTATTAATTCTACAGATTCCAAAATGATTTACCTCAACAAAATGATCACATTATGCCTAATTACAATATTTCAAAAAGTGAATTCATTATGACCATGTGTGAGAAACCATTTACTGCAAAAATCTAAGCAAAAATATATGGAAGACTAAAGCCCGGAAAAAAGTGATCCTAAGCACAAGCTTGGTAAATGAATTTCCCGTAATTTAGGAGGCTCGAGAAAATTGGGAAACAAATCTGAGAGCAATTTTTGTGCAAAGCTTAACATTGCCTTCATCTGCGTTTATACCTGCTTGTTGGACTCTCTGTTCTTTTTATCTTTTCCCTTTTCTATTTTCATCACATTTTTTCATTCTATTTTTGTTCTTTTTTTCCAGAGACTAAACGACATACTGTTTGTTGACCAATTATGAGAACTTTTCTTGCATACTAATTCAACAAAGCAGCTTGTGACTAAAAAATTTGCGGTTTCAATGGTGTGATTAATAAAGGAGAACTCTTATACAGGGCCCGGCACAGATCGTCTAGAAGCAGGCTGGACTTCGTCTTTGGAGCGAAAAGCAAAGGAGATATCGTTTTTGAAGAGTAGGGGCCGAGCACCAAGAATAAGCGCCATTTAGTCGAACACAAGCTTTTCGGACAGGTTATCACACGATTGACATGCTCTATCGTGTGTGGTGAAAAGTGCGCGCGATTTGAAAGCAAGGCTAAAACAAACAAATTGCTTGTTTACAGCGCACACAGAAGCATATGACACCAAAATTGAACTGCATGCATAGAAAATTATTTGCGGAAGAACTATGTAAAAAGATTTGAAAACTTATGTGAAGAAATACGTTTTCCAAAATTAGATCGTCTCCAGACGGCCACCAGACGATCTGAGATCGTCTGGAGCATATATTTCCGTCAATTCACATAAGTTTTGGATCTTTTCAGCATGGACGGATGCCCCAGTCGAAAATCTATCCCTGAGCATAGAAACACTTTCATATTACCTCCTGTCCGTCCTTTTTTATCCTCTTTTTTCCGAAAATCACCTTGTTAGATATCGCGCCCCAGCGTCAACTTTTCTGCGCCCTCCCTTTAAATTTTCATCTTCACTTTGAGCTTAGATCGCAAAATCTTTCTAATTTTGTTCATTCTGTTCAAAAACTTTCCTTTTATTCATCTCCTCGTGACACATTAAGGAAATCTGTCTGAATTCATGTTGAATGAAGAGCGTTGAACAGTAAGAGTAGCGTCACACAACGAGGAGATTAGTCAAACTTCTCATTAATGTTTTTTCGTGCTGTGTTCACGGGCTTGGGTAAAATTGTTTCGACAAACTGTTTTTTATGATCATAACACAGGTCTTTTCCCCGATTACTACTTGCGTTTTCATCCATTACCATCATGTACATCAACACAGCTCTTTTCCTCGATTATTATTTGCGTTTTTATACTTTAAGAAGCTTTGCATTTTTGTTATTGTCCAAAGTATGGTGTTGTTGAGCTTAAAATTAGCTTAGGTAGTGTTTGATTACTCCGAAATAAGTGTGTAACAATACGGAGATCATCATTTCTTTGGTAATGCATGGCTCTAGGAGAAGTGCAGCCCCTACAATGCAAACTCTCCACGAATAATAAGCGATTGAGTGACCTACTTTGAGCGAGTTCCAGCCTGCGATCGCGTTATTTTTCCTCGCCTTGCTATACCGCTGTTGTTTCAGGTACTAAATAAAAAAGCAAAGCTGCGATACGTTCGTTGTACTCTATAAGCTGGGAGAAGGCGCATCTGAGCTGGATCTCGGATCAGAAGCAAAACGAACTGATCTCGGCCGATTTCCTACACCTGTTGGAGCTTTCATGCTTGAAGTTGCTTATCGAACACAAATGGCCAAGGAGAGGGTGTTGTCACCACCTGAAGGACACGAATCTCCTAATCAGGTATCTTTTTTCATAAGTTTTTATTATTTTGCAAACATTTGCGTGTAGGTTTTGAATATGTCGAGTTTTGCTATCATCATTTTGAATATTTGGTTCTTCTCTATCATATTGTTGTTGCTATGACGAGACTTGCGGGGGGGGGGGGGGGGGCGTGGTTCGTATACTTATCCCCGTTTAATTCATCTAGCTCAGTTAAATTTTATAACATAATGCATCCACTGGAGCTTTCGTGCTTTCGTGGAGAAATCAATGGCAGTCATGAACAATACGGTGCGTTCCTCGATTATCTATCTATGGATGACGCATTGATACGAACGCCCAGCACCACACTCTTTTTTGTACTCCTCTTAGGCCCCGGACAGACTTCACGCGATTTGATCGTCGCGACTCAATCGCCGACATTTCCATTCATTTTCATTTCACATTCAAAAATTTCGGGCTGGAAATGTATCACAACCGAAATGCAAGTTGATCGGCATGGAATGATGTTGTAACAGTTGTCTCGTCGCGATTCAGTCGCGACGATCAAATCGCGTGAAGTCTGTCCGGGGCCTTAATCTCTTTCATCGCCCATAGAAATCACTTGTCTGTAGGCGAAAAATGGTTTCGCTTTTATGTCCATTGTCCTTGTACATAGTATCAAGTTGGGACATAAATTTGTCATCGTTTCAAGATGTCTCTTTTTGAATGTAATACACTCATTTTGAAATAATTTATGATGAAGTGAGTTACAAATATGCGCAACCTGTTTGTTTTTTGGTGACAGAGCAAAAATGCGTTTTTCGAAAGCTAGTCAAGCCAGAGCTTGTCTTGTTGAGAAGAGATTAATCTCGTTTGCAAAATGAATGAAATTCTAGTCGAAACCATACATAATTGTTGCTAAAAGATTCTTTGATAATCATTGTGCAGTCTCGCCCCATTGTGATTGATTTAGATTGCGGCGTTATTCTTTCTTTTTTGACCCACTAAAATCGAATTTGACTAGCTTTCGATAATTACGTAAATTTTTTGTATGTGGCTACCAAAAAATTGAAGTTTACCTATAGCTTACGTCGTAATCGATATAATCTCAGAACGAGTGCACCACATCTAAAAAGGTGAAGATGTGACATTAGCTGCAAAACCTGGGTGCCAATTTATAGTTTCAGGGCTTTTCAGCTCGTATCGGTTTATCTGTCTCCCCTTTCTCTTTTTTCTCTCTTTTCTATAAAACAGAGAATTAGTATAGAAAAAAGTACGTATTTAGATGAGCAGTGTGGTCTTGGCAACCGTCAGGAAATTCTCCATCTTACTTGAGCGATCTCGCAAGAAGCACACTTCACTTTCAAGAAACTTGAAGATGACTGTAGAGATACTGTTCAGGTTAGCGTTTAACCTCTCTTTACTATTTACTATTTATTTACTGTTTTTTATTATACATTTCCTGTTTCTTTGTTTTTTTTAATGGCTTTGCTTATACAATTACGTATTGTGCGCAAATCTCCTTTTTTCTCGGTCTCTTAATCCCTTGCTTATTCGAATCACTTGTTTCGATAGGTTATAAAGTAATCTACAGACGCTGTTTAGATGTGCTTACTGAACAAGCAAATGGAGATCGAAAATCTTCGTGCTAGGCTTGAGAAGGAAACCAATATATCGAAATCCTTGCATGAAATTTTAGACCTAAGTCGGAAACTAGTAAGTTTTTTCCACTCCTCATTCTCACTGCAGACAGTGAAGATTCCAGGTCCTAGAGAGAGATGAGCAGTTGAATGAAATGAGTAATAAATTACGAGATGCGGACAAATGTAACAGGTAATAAATGCTTTAAAAAAAGATAAAGAAGATAATGCGCATTTAGACCGAGGACCACCTGTCTCGTACCTCCATGTATCTCGCTCTTGAATGAGCTCGTTGCGATAAAGTCACTCTTTTTTTTGCAAGAAAGTGAAACTTTGCTGACACAGGTTAGCAGTTTATGATATTTGACTTGTGTTGAAAGTACTGCTTAGACCAGAGGCCACTACTAGGCGTACTCATCGTTGATACCTTGAGGTAAATACTACATCCATGTAGTTTTATCACTCATTATCAGTGATGAAACTATATGATGATGAGTGGTAAAACTACCTGGAAGTAGGATTTTCTCAAGGTATCAATGATGACGAGCTCAGATCAGACTGTCTTTCTTATGCTTTGGCAACGAGGTTGAAGAGGCACGAGTAACCGATCAACAGATCGTGTCTTACCGAGCCATGAGTTTTATTCTATAATATGCTTAAAGTTTATCATAACCATATCATAACCATCTGTATGTTTGCAGTTATATCTTGAATTTCCTTTTTGGTATTTCATCTGCGAATCCTGTGCATGTAAAACAACTTTGATTTTTCTTTTTTTTTGTAGGAGAGGTATTTTGAAAAAAAAAACAACATATCGTTAGTTTTTTTGCATTGAGATGCATCTTATCTTTTTTTAACCTGAACAGATTATCCGTCCAGATAATGCTACCTAAAACTCTGTAAAAGGAAATAAGATTACAAGCTTATCAAATCACAGAACTAGCGCAAAAGAAGTTTACTGATGTTTTCAGTGATGCGCAAGAAGCTGATCTCAGTGCGACAAAGAAAACGTTGCGAGCTCTTCAACGAGAAAATGGATTCACGGTGCCTCAAGTCAATACGGGTGTAAATGATGATAGAACACAATAAATGCTTTATCAATATTTTCCAAAAAGTTTCTATAAAGCTATAAAATTAATATCTAGTGACTTTTCTAAGATGTAGTGATTGTACAAACATTCGCAGAGTATTTGATGAATCGGGACACAATCATAGTCCCGAGATATCAAACATGATTGGATAACGGTATATACAAAACTTTGACCATAATCATCTAGATACTTTGCCAGAAATACTAGCTGAGATAAACCTAAGGAAGCTTCTCGATGGAGAAAAGCTTAGCAAGGAAGCAGTGTCTAAACGCCAGTTTATCTCCAGCTTTGTCAGTTTTTTCACGAGGACCACTACCAAATCAGTCGGAGAAAAAAAAGGAAAGTTACCGAAATGATGATGTCCGTAGCAAATGCTTCGTTCTCGCTAGTTAGTTTGCACAATGTTTTTGGAAATGAAATCAAAAATGAAAAATTTGAAAATGTTTTTGGAGAATATAAATAAAAGTTTTTTGAAAGATTGTTTGTTCTCAATGAAGGGGGGGGGATAGAGCAGGGGTCAAAGGGGACTTCGTAAAATTTTCGAAAGTCAGGGGGGACTTCGTTTTCAGGAAGCTTAAAAACGGACTCGTGCCGGGCCCTGCTCTTATATGCTGATTACAACGAGTCATATACACCAAGTAAGGTGGAGTATGGTTCTCTCTGTTAATAATATTACGCACATTTTTGGGCGTATGGGAATTTATCGAAAACATTTTTATAATTGTAATAATTTATAGTAAATAATGAATAACCGATATTCAATAATTAAAAATTATAGTTAGAATTATGATTCATAATTTTTGTAATCCGAAAACTTGACTATTATTACGATGAAAATGGAAAAGTAACAAAGGAGCTCGCTTGGAAAGTGTTCGATTCAACTAAAGGTCCTCATGCATTTGGATCAAAAAAGTTAAAAGAAAAAAAAGAAAAATCCTTTTCAATTGCTCATATTTATTCACGGTACTCCTCCACGCAGTATGCGCGATTAGAGTGTTTCTGATATTTTGTATAGGTTGAAGAGAGTTGCTCTGGTATTTTCATAAAAAATTCATCGTGGACCCTTCCTGCGCAGCATCTTGCATACATCAGCAATTCCATCAAATCGAGACAAATGAAGCACACTTCAAATCTAATTCATTATGAGAACGTAGTAAAAAAAACTGATTTCCTACCCTCCATTGTGCACTATCTGTGATTAGGTTTTGTTTTCACAACCCGGTCACCGAAAAAAGCGGAACTTTTGATTGGATCCCGGAGGAGCGCAGATGCTGTGTGGAAATTAGCGACTACTCGACAAACTTCGTTCCGTCTGCGCCTACACAGACACATAAACAACGGAAAGCGATTGAGAGTTTGGAAATTTGTTATTTGCAAGAGTAGAGGATTATGCAGATTGAATGAATTTCATACAATCTGCGAGGAAATCTTGCAGATATGAAAATGCTCATAAATATTATGCGAGAAAATTCCAGCAGCAACGTAAGCATACATATTAACACTCTCGGAGTTCAGACGATTTGTAATGAATTATCAAAAAGTTGTTCAATATCCTAGTTTTTTTTTATATCCAGCGCTTGCAAAATTGTTAGAACATTACTCGCTTGCACAAAAAAGATTAAAACCAAATAGGACAAAAATTGGGGCGGTGTATCAATAAATATTGCCTTAACTTTATCCTCGCCAACAAGCCCATAAAAAGCGAGTTTTCGAAATTTGCAGTACTACTGGACTATAGATACGAGTTTTCCCGGAAAGTTCTGAAGTAAAAATTTTTTCATTGCTAGCTGTTTATGCACATCAGCTTGTAAGGACTTGCTTTTTGAAAACTAGTCCTATTCCAAGAAGTATATATGAGAACAAATAGCAAACGATGAGTTATAAGCAACTTTTTCATGTATGGTTCTAGCACGATTTTTTGAGCAAATGTCCGATTGAAAATTATATAATTTTTGAATGCACGAGGTTGCCGTCAAGCTTCAAGGTCTTTTTTGCTAGATGTTTGTCCTTTTTTGGAAGTCGATACTGTGAAATACATATCTTTCGGAGAATAAGCTGGACATTCAATTATACAGAAATAGCGATCAATCTACTTTTATCATTAAGTGCCTGATTTGAAAGATACGAATTTTTTAGGTTAACTTTTAGATATGAATAGTGATATGTTTATGTTTGCCTTTCTACATACGTCATCATCTCAGAGTCCCATTATGGAAAACACGAATACAAGTGAGCCTCACAATAAATTCACGCTTAAATTTTTCTTTCATAGATGTTTACAGCTGTTGCTGTTATTCAACCTGCAGCCAACGTCAGCAAAATTGAAGCCGTGGTCATGACGCAGATCTTGATTAGGCATATTCACGTTCATAATTAAGCAGGAAGAGAGATGAGGTCATAGGCTTCAACATTTTTGACTCATAGAGGAAATGAAGGGCTACGAGAAGTAGCTATTCTAAGTTGTTTTGGACATGGAGATAAACGCAGTCACATAGACAGAGTCCTGCTAATTTACTTATTGTTAGAGAAGAAAACGAGATTCGCAATTAGAAATCTGAATTTTTCAAGCCATCCTAATTTATCTAACTATTTGGGAGCAACGTTGCACAATAATTGTGCAGAATATAATAGGAAGCGTTTATTTCTCTGATTATGACTCAAAACTGCAAATTTTTGTAAAAAAATCTAAGAAATGAAGAATAAAATTGATATTTCGCCTTAAAAAATGGCTCACCTGATAACCACACTGAGGAACTATGCCCCACGAGTGAAAGATGAGCATGAGCGATAAGAAAAAGCGCCCAGCCGTAGCTCCAATGTCGTGGATGACAATGTTTAAAGGCGACGAACGAGTAATGTGTGGTGTAGATGAGGTTTGAGAACAAAACCACCGTATCACAGCATGCCATCGCTGTCAAAATCATATTCACGGGTGTCCGCATTTGACGCCTGGAAAGTGGCGATTAAGGAAAGATAGCTTCATAATCTCCTTTTTCTCTTGATTGAAAAACTTAATAAAGAGTCGGCAAAACAAGAACAAACATTTTTAATTTACAATTCGTTTGTCTAAGGAATCTTTTTTATTTCAATGGAAGTCTTCCAATTCAGGATAGATGTTGATTAAAAATCGAAAATGTTTGAGCGAAATATGCAAAATCGTAGAAAAGAAAGGGATATTCAAAGCGAACATTTTCTTAGATTAAGTATATGAAAACTTATAGATGAAACGTGAAGTCAACATTTGAATAAAAATATGAATAAGTAGAGGAAAGTCTTATTGGTGATATATGTTCAATTTCATTTGACTGACAAATGCTTCGCAAAAAGTGAGATATGACTCTTTGAAAAGCTCTCTAACATTCTGCAAATCACAATCTATGAGTGATACCACTAATTCAGTTTGAAAATCATCCTTTTCCTTTTTTACAAATGGATCTGAATGGATACACCTGAAGCAAGTAATATTGCAAGCTTCAAAATTGTTCAAGTGTTAATTCCCAAAAAATTAGGTTCTAAAATGATTTGAACAGTTTACAACTGCAGAAATTCGCCCAGTACATCAGTCAAGAAGGTTTTGGATGCACACTGGAGCTTATTGTTCTTGGTAAAAAGAGTGGATTGTTATGGGATATTATATCATGGAATATCAACAAGTTTGAAAGCATATTAAAATACTCAGTGCAATGTATTTGAATAATTGTCAGCAAAATAAGTACGTCAGTAAAGCATGTGATTATTCATGTATGTCATTTTCCACTCTTGATCACCCTTTCCCGAAAAAAGTATATAGATAAGCGAAGATAATTGATGCAGTACTCTAAGGAATCTGGAAGCGATATGCAGTGCACTCTCAAGCAACAACAAGTTCATTCTCGGAAAAGCTTCAAGCTGTATGATATCATTCTATATTTGTAGAACTTAGCAGAACTTAGCACGGCTTAGCTTTATCCAGCACATAAGCAGATAAAGGAGGCTTCCAATGTGCTCGGAGATCATAACAAAAAAAACTAACCTCGTTAGCACCACAATATTGCAGAAGTTGGCAACAGTTCCGAATATGCACATAATAATAGATAAATAAGTATGGATAGGTTTGTAGAACAAGTGGACTTCCCTGAAACAAAAAGGTTATAGTGGTGTTCCGCTCAAAAATTTCGAAAACAAAATTTTACATTTTCCGTAGAGTTGGGATTTGTTTCATGATCACATATTTTTTATTAATCGTAAAAAACGGAAAACTATACTATTTGTCAGTTTGATACAGCAGCAGCTACATTAAGAGAGGCTGAAAAGCCTTGGTTAAAATAACTATTTTTATGAGCTCAGTAAGTCATATTGAAACGATTAAAAAAGAAAACTGTCCTTTCAAAATTCTGAATGTATCAGTGGCTGGCGAAAATACAAAAGCAATGTCGATTTTTTCTACGAAAATTTCTTTTTCAAACTCATAAATTGAACATTTCGATTTACTCATTTAATACCTTAACTTATAAAACATTGTTTGTTAGCCGAAAACGTAAACAAACTCATCACATAATACTTTCTTACTAGCATTTAAGACTGTAATTACAGTAAATTGCTCACCGAAAGAAGTCATAAACAACACTTTGATTGGGCAAATGCACAAGCACCGTCTGACATTGATCAGTGTCCATAATCGGAGCGCGTTTATCTCTCGTATTTGTTGTGTTTTTCTCTCTTTGTATCCGTGTATGTTTTGTCTGTTTACAATGGCATCTGAAATAAACACAATAAGGAAAACGTTTGCCTTAGACGGGGGCGGCTGAAACATGCGAAAGGCTAAACGACGACGTCTGCGGAGGTGATTGGCCACGACACACACGCAAAATGTGAATAACCAGCAATGGCAGGGTTGTCAACACATACAATCAAGGTATGGGTGGGAGAATCTTGAGAATGCGAGAGGAATGACATCAGCAGCAGAGAGATTAGTAGACAACAGTTGTAGCTATATGCACAGTCATCAGCCAGGGCGGGGCATACGGTAAGTGCCCCGGAAGAGGAGGGCGGGAAAGGAGAATTTCAAAACTCAACTTGTGCGTAGTTGTGATTGATAAGCTACCAGATTTTGTTTCGAAAAGAGCTGGAAATAATAAATGAGACAGACATACTCATCATCCGATGGAGTACCGTAAGGAACGGTAAGTGCCGGAGGCGGAGGAAAGCATATAACACTAAGCTGACAGCTTTTATTTTTTCATTCGATCGCGGTCCTCAGTTCTGGACGGTAAATTTTCGGTAAATGCATGGTAAGTGTCAGAAGAGAGGAGAACGGGAAGGTAAAAGTTCAAGACTCAACTTGTGGGATGATTGACTAACATCTTGAGAATTCAGTGGATAAAGTGCTATTAGTATAACAGATACTATGCAGTCATCAGTTTTCGGGGTACTGTAAGGATACGGTGAGCCCAAAAAGAGGCGGGAGAAGAGCTTAAAGACTTTTGACTTTTGTACATAGTTGATATAATCCTACTAACAGGCAATGATTGCAATCGATATAGAACTGGAAATGGAAAATGGGACCGAAACTCGGACAAAACCAAGCACAGTCACCATCATCCGATGGATTACTGTAAAGATACGGTAAATGTCGGGAAAGAAGGCGGGAAAGTGGCAGTATTAAAATACAACACGTGGGCATAGTTGCGTTATAAACAGTTGATAGCTTCTGTTCTCAGTTTTTAGTTCTTAGTCTTTGAATGAGGGCTAGAATTAGCAAATGAATCCAGCAGAGTAATAACGATGGGGTACTGTATGGTGATACGGTAAGCGCTAAAGAGATGCAGGGAAAGGATGCAAAAAGATACTTATAAGTCTTGATTTAATCCTAAACTGATCGTCTGTTCGTCGATGAAGTGATTGAAAGATAATAAAAGTAGTCGAGCGCAATCATCAGCTTGATATGGCAAAGGTAAGGTAAATACTCGAGAAGAAGCAGCAGAGAAAGTAAAAATTCAAAAATTATATATCTCACTTGTGCGACTAACAGTTTTGTGTTACTACTCGATAAAAGGATGGAAATAACAAATGTATCTAGCCGATATCACATCATCATCCAATGTTAAATACTGTAAGTTCGCGATAGTTGTTCGGAGCAATCTGTAGCCTCAACAATTCGTCGGTGCATTTCTCGCCACACACTTCAAAAGATGCCGAGTGTGTTTGGAGCGCGATATCTTTCAGTTCTTGGGTTTACGCTAATTTAACACGTTTTGGACCGGTGCTGCACATGGTGCAGCACGCTGCTTTGAAGGATCTTTCTGGCGTTTACAGGAGATTTCCTTTTAGTCCGAAGTTGTTAAATCAAAGATCTAAGCTCCTACTTTTCAAATGACTCTGTAGGGCTGTGCCGCGCATATTTGTTTAGGAGATATGAGGGCAAATCGAACAACAGTTGCAACGAAGTGCGGCAGCGCGAACGACGCGTGCGACGTCGCAACTTTTCTTTGCTTCGATCTCAAAGAGAAAAACCGCGGTTTCAATACTGATGTGTACCGTGTACAACATAGATACTTTTGGATACAATTAGAAACTGAGTTCTTGTTCCTATCTTTCAAGAAAGTACGAAAGTCCCTCTCAGGCCACAAAATTCAAATACTTCGAATTCACTCAGAACTTTGGTTATGGAGCTTATCTGACATGATTACAGTTGTGGCCTACAGGCTGCGAAATGAGGTCTCTTTATAGGCTAACGGCTGGAAGTACACTCTTATTCGCCGCGCGCGATTTCGCGGTCCGAAACGTGTTAAAAAAAAAAGAGGAAAGGCAATGGTTTGACTCGCTCTCTTCACTATATGATAGATTGCTAGCGTTCTAATCGTCCAAATCAGAAAGATCCAAAACTTATGTGAATTTTTCGATATTTATGCTCCGAACCAACCCAGACCCAGTTGGCTTCGTGTTGGTCTAGAAACCAACAAATTTGGGAACGGGTATTAGGACACATAAGTTTTTGGGACTTTTTACTTGATGTTGTTTGCATTAGTATTGTATGCATATAGCCCAAATTCCGTGCCCATGTAATTTGCGGTGCAAAGAAGCCATTTGTTTGTTTGGGTCTTACGTTTGAAATTCGCGCGCTGCGAAAGAACGCGTTCAACTAAAACCTAACATGTTTGTCGATTAATTCTCCCATGATCGTCATCATTCAGTGCCCGGCACAGATGGTTGTCAAACTGGACTTCGTTTTTGGAGTTATAGGCAAGGGGGATATCGTTTTTATAAGGTCCTGGAGGAAGCGCCAAAAAAGGACGAACATGTCAATTTTTACGAGTTGGACGTGTTCTTTCGCAAGCGCGCGAACTTCAAACGCAAGACTCAAACAAACAAATGACTTGTTTACAGCGCACAAACAATCAAATGGCTCCGAATTTCGGCTATATGTATACAATATAACTCCAAACTGTGTTATGTAAAAAGTTTCAAAAACTATGTGTCCTAATATCCGTTCCCGAATTTGTTGGTTTCTATACCAACCCAAACCAACTGGGTTGGTTCGGAGCATAAATGTCGGAGAGTTCACATAAGTTTTGAACCTTTTTGACTTGGACGATTAGAGCGGTCAAAAATCTATCATAAAGTGAAGAGAGCGAATCAAACCACTGCCTCTCCTCTTTTTTTCGAGCCAAAAGTCGTGTTCTACGCGTTGATAGATATCGCGCTCCAATCACATGCGGTGTCCTTTGAACTATGTGCCGAAATTTGCATCGCCGGGTCGTTGAGGCCACAGATTTGGTTGGCCTGGGAGGTTTTGGACATTTCGAGCTTTAAAATGGTACTTTAACCAATGGCAGAGCCTTTAATCGACTCGAAATGTTTTCTTTTTGCATTTTTTGTTATATTAGATAACTCAAAATGCGCTTTTTTATTGTTATTTTGATTTAGTAAGGGTTCCCCTACTGATTTTTCAGTCGAGAGGGACTTCGTAAATTTTCGCGAAGTCATGGAGGACTTCGTTCCCCAAAATGTTCCAAACCAACGCGTGCCGAGCCCTGGTTCGGAGGCATGAGGGGTAACTTTGGATTACGCATCTTGTGCCTAGTTGCTATAATCCTAAGCTAGCAACGCTTTTATGTTTTCAGTCGATATTCGGAGATGGAAATAACAAATTACGAGCTAATTGTGATTGATGGCTACGCTAAGCCGTTTTGTTATTCAAGCAGAAGCTCTTCACTGATACTGTAACCAGCAATTACTAAGTTTAGCTGAACAAAAAGCAATTTCTTTCGAAATATGGACGGGAAAATGAAGAGGATGCTTGGATAGCCAATAATGTCATTAACATGCAAGCACACTGGAACCAAATATAAACTGAAGGGCTATTATGCAAGAAATGCACTATGACGTAACTTCTGATGACGTTCATGAACTCATCAGCTTTAGAAAGAACAGTTAAGGCTTTTTGAAATCTAAACATTAGAAAATAAACTTGCTTCCGAAATTTATATATTGGCATCAGTTTATATAGATGCGCAAAAGAAGGAAAAATAGTTTACTTGTTTGTTCGTTTATTTTTTGTTCATACATTTATTTATGAAACACACCAGCAGACCACAGATTTAAAAGAATTAAGTTATTGAATGTGGTTAGACTGTTCACCACAGAATTGAAAATAAAACAGCTTTGTTCGATATTAAAGGGGAACTATAGAGAAATGGAGGTAGGTGGCATTCAAGAAAAGCTGTGGTTGAAAGAACGTGCGCTTTTGGCGAACCCGTGGGTTTAAAATTTAAATAAGCGCTGAAAAGAATTCAGACTCTCCAAAAGGACTTGTAAAATATTCTGTGAAATATTCTCTCATCATGTGAGCAACCATCCTACTTTGCAGCTAAAAGAACAATTTTTTTTGAATTTACTGAGTTCTCTGATTCATGACACTATTAGCAGATTGGCAGTGTATGCGAATCCTTTCAAAAACATTTTCAAAAAAATTGGATTATTGATCTTGTCAGAAAAACCAATTACTTCACGAAGGAAAAATGCCCCATTCCTTTTATTTCAAAATCCAGGAGCGTAAATTCGCTCGTGGTTTCTAGGAGCTACTGAAATAATTCTAATGATGACGTTGATATTTGTTCCAATTTGGCTGCATGGGCATGCACTTTTAGGGAATGATGAGATTGGTATTTACGTTGATGTAAGAAATGAGGCACATAATCAAGCAACAAATGCAACTCTATAAAGACTAGAATACAAATGAGGATTTTTGAGTTGCATGGTTAGATTGGAAATGCTGATGAGATTACGCAATATCTATGTGTTTTGCAGAATAGAGAGGAATGCTTAATGAGATTCAAATAAAATGAATAAGAAAGTTGCTCGCTTTATCCCTCAGGCATGACCATAAGTATTAAAATAAAAACAGATTTCTCTTGATAACATCGATGTGAGAAAGATTTGGATCGAATGACGAGAATCGATTTCAAAAGATCGCTAAGGAAGCTTGGGAAAAAGTGTTAGCAAAACTACACTGCAAAAAATCATATCGTAAAAGAAGAGTTGCGAAAAAAACGTGATGTAGGGGTTATAAATGATGCAGCAGATTATGGACTCATATTCTTCTTTTGTCTGTGTTAGTAGATGCTAAAAAGTTAGAATGTTCAGGAGATGAGCCCGAAAATAGATTTTTTTAGCAAAGAGTGGGAAATGAAAGCAGGGCAAAAGAAAACGAATTGAAAAGAACTGATATCAACTTACATTCATTTGATGGTGAAAA